CCTTGTTCAACTATATCTATCTACCTCTCTATCTATCATCTATCTGTCTAGCTATCTATCATCTGTTTGTCTATCATCTATCTATTTTACATCTATCTATCATCTATGTGTCATCTATCAATGTATCATATATGATCTATCTGTTTATCTGTCTGTCTATGTATGTATCATCTGTCTATCATCTATCTATCATTTATCTATCATCTGTCTAACATATATCATCTGTCTATATATCATCTACCTATCATCTATCTATGTATGTATCATCTATCATTTATCTATCATATGTTTATCATATATCATCTATCTATCATATATTATCCATCTGTCTATGTATCTATCATCTGTCTATCTATCACCCATCATCACTGAGCTCCCAGGGTACTGAGGCTTCTCCATCAGAGAGCTCTCCTCACCTGATTCCAACTTTGTGTGTCCTGTGTCTGTCTTTTCTTCATTCCCTCGCTGCCCCAATCAGGTCAAGTTCTTGGAGCTGTGCCAGGATGTGGCAGATCAGCCTTGCCAAGTTGCCCTGGTTACTACTGTTAACTCACACCATCTATCTTGTCATGATCCTAGCCCATGAGCTTCTATTCTCCAGCAAACTGAATAGAACAAACAAACACATGCAGACATGGTTTAGAGTACTCACTGTCTGCGCTTCCAAGGACCAGAGTTTGATTTCCAGCACCACATAGCAGCTCACAACTATCTGTAACTCAAGTTCCAGGGGACTCTGACATCCTCTCCTGGTATTTATTGGCACTACATGAATGTGGTGTATACTGACATTGATGCAGGCAAAACAACATCTGTTCACGTAAAATATAATGAAAAAGAAAATATACACCAGGTTCAACTGTCTTTGGTTTTTCTGGTCTTTCAGGTCATATATATTTAATCACTTTATAGCCTTTCCTTGTTAATCTTCTATCTAGTATGCGGACCCAGATAAGAGACATAAAGGACAGGAGGAAAAATATATTTTCCTTTCTTCTAACATGCCATGATGCAGTGTCCACATGCATGGTTTTGTCTTGTAGGTGCAGGGTGACAATATTGCTGTCTGAACAATGGAATATTAAAGATGTGAGAGTTTTTGAGGTGTGTTCCTGTTTGCTTTGTGAAGCTGTCGTAGCACAGCCTCAGGGGTGGGAAGGGAAGCTGGTTTGCCTACACGTAAAATCCATCTAATCTCCTGGGGATGCAGCCTCTGCAGTCACCAGTCTGAGACCCAGGAAAACCACAGCTACTACCACTGATGTGACGTCACGGGCTGTTCACACTTACCTGGTTAGGTATTGGGCAAGTCTGGGAGCAGAGGTTGCTTCTTGCTTGCAGGGTTGTCTTGAAGAAGAGATACCATTCAAATTACTAGACATTTTCAATGTTTCAATGTTTCAAAGTATAGTTGTCAGTCATTTTGCTGAATTTCTGCCTTTGTAACATTGTACTTGATCTCCTGTATATGACCTATCCGACTTAGGAAGTATTGTTAGGATGGAAAAATCACGGTGGAGTATATCCAAGGAAACACAAACAACTGAACGTACTTGTTAAAACACAGTCAGGCTGACTTCATTCAGGATAACGGTGACAGGCATAGAACCATGGCAACAAGATCTCGCTGTGGGAAAAGGGATCAGGCTCAACCCTGAAGACAGCTGGGAGTCAAGTGGGAATTGATATTCAGGAGCTGTGTGTGTGTGTGTGTGTGTGTGTGTGTGTGTGTGTGTGTGTGTTTGGGGATGGAGTGTCAGTGGATGGGGTATTGCTAAAATACGATATTAGAGTTAAGAAGGTGCTGCTCTCTGAATGCAAAGTGTCCCCCCCCCCATTGTTTGAGTGCTCAGGGCTGTTCCTGTAGATGGTGAAACTTATAGGAGGAGGAGGGGCCAGGAAGTAGGCCAATGGGGATGGGCCTTCCTATTTGCTAACCCACATCTGCCCCCCATCTTGGATACAAGCAGGATCTTGCCACCTGACTTTTTCTGCCATGATGGGCTGCATCTCCCCAAACTATGAACCCGGTTAAACCCTTCCTTCCTTACATTACATCTTCCAGGGGTTTGTCACAACATCAAGAAAAGTAACAGTTATCAGAAGTTTCTGGCTGAACTGATCCACCAGGATAATGTAGTCGGCACTGCTGAACAGATGGTGAATACAAACCTGATCAGATATTCAGGGTCATCAAACTCAAAGCTGGATTTTATAGGGCAGTGCATTTCATCTAGGTCCTAGGATAAGCTTATGAAGCCTCACTAAGACTGGGTAAAACAACAAAGAATCTTCCTAGTTAATTTGAAATTGGTATTGCTAAAATATTGACCTGTTTTTTGATTTATTTCTAGTGTTCAGGAATCCTGTTCCTGAGAATTTTATGAATGACTCTGTCTGAGCCTCAGAGGCATTTCAGGGATTGTTTGTTTTAGATCGCTCTGGGTGAACACGGATCTCCGAGAAGGTAGTATTCCTGCAATTACCAAGATCTTAACAATAATTGGAGACTAAGTAGCACGATATTAAATCTAATTTCCTTTTGGGTCCCTTTGTTAGCTGAGTGTTTTGTACACAGAGAGAGGAGCAGCCAGCTTGATGGCAGCTTCTCTCTGATACCAGCTCTCTATGGCATGGAGCAGGATTGGGTCAGGAAATGACGAGGCTCCGGGAGAATCTTCCTAGAGGTGCTCCTGGGCTCCCATACATTGGGAAAGGTGTGTTGGGCATTGGAGACATCATACATCGAAACACATTTAATACTTCCGACCTGTGGAACTTCAAGCTTAACCTGGACACCCCAGTGACAGTGGTGCTTCCCGAAGCTTCACCAAACCCATGCCTCGAAATATGTCTTCGGGGCAGTGTATGGCTCTCACAGCACTGAAACTGGAAGGCTCTAGGCTGAGCCTTGTAAGTTAGGGACCATCTTGATCTGAATGAACTTGCAAATCCATCCTTTGAAGTTAGGATAGTGGAAACGTCACTGAACCCAGGGGACAGTCAGTCTCTGGACTCTCAGCTCAGGTTACCCTCCAGCAAGATCATCGTCACTGACAGCTCTGATTTTGCTTCATCTGAAAACCCAGACTGCCCAGACAGGGTGGATGTGCCTCTTGTGGAGGTGTCAGGAGTGCAGGGAGGAAGTGGGTTGTCATAGAATCCATTCTCGGAGTCGCTCTCCCGGATTTAGGGTATTGTGCCTGGGTAGCTCTCCTCCATCACACACATACTAACCTATCATCCGTTTCCACAGGGTACTGTTACTGTCCTGCTGTTCTAGAGAGTCAGTTATGGTTGGGAAACGTCCCTCTTGTATTGTTTAACACTCCCAACACAGGTCGTCAACCCCTCCCTCTCTCACACACAGAGTCTACCAGTTTCACTCACACACAAAGTCTCTCGCATAATACACATACTGTCTCACACACAGATACAAGTCAGTCTCTCTTACACATGGTCTCTCTCTCAGACACACACACACACACACACACACAGAGAGAGAGAGAGAGAGAGAGAGAGAGAGAGAGAGAGAGAGAGAGAGCTTGAGTAACTTCGTGTCTCTTCCTTTAGCACAGTGTGTGCCAGGTAAATCCATTATTTTATATTATTATTATGCAGGAAAGACACAGGTGTGTGGGGTGGCTAGGGCACCTGTTGAGGTTCAGATGTTCTGGGAAAGGTGTCACCAGGACTCAGGATTTGGGCTTTGCTTCTCTCTCACCAGTTTCAATTCATCTAGAAAAACAAGCAATAAATAAAACATCAAAAGAGGTGAAGTGGGTTGTGCCTTGGAGAGTGTCCCTGTTAATCTGGGAACTGCTGAGTTAAGTGCTCAGGTGTTAAAAATCAAAGCACCATTGGAAAGCTCAAAGAACAAATTCTCCTTAACGTTTCAAAAAAGTTTTTTTTTTTTAAAAAAAATTAAGTTTCTAATTGGTTGTTGTTACTGTTTGTCGGTTTGTTTTAATGGTGACTTTATTTTGAGGTTTATGGTCTTGATGTATAAAATCTTAGTTAACTTCACTAATAAAGCTACGTCAATTCACAAGTGTCCTGAATTATCAGGCTTTTCACTACTAGGGGTATTCGGTGTTATTCCAGAGTAACTCATTTATTTACATATTGTAATCAGTATTCAAAAGTAGAATAGTTTTTGGGAAAGACAGGAAATGTCTGAGTCAGAGGCAATGCTGGGGCTGTCCTCAGTTTTAATTTGTATCGACAGAGCCAGGGCAGTTTTGCATGCACTACCCAGGAGACAATAATCACACTCAAGAGATCCAGTAAGACACAGATAAAGTAGCTCCGCCAGGGAGGCTGAGGCAGGAGGATTTCCATGAGGGCAGCCTGGCTTCCATAGCCAATGTCAGGCCTGCCTGGGCGATAGAGTAAGGCAGTGTTTCAAAACCAAAACCAAAAGAAAGCCAGAAGTGATGTGTTCGGCGCCTCTCTCGTTGCTGAAGAGTTTAAAGAAAAAACAAAAGGAAAAATCAGCCGGACGGAAATATAAATCAAACCCAGGGCTCATTATAAGCCAGCAGCGGAGAAACGCCACAGACAAGTCCACAGCCCCGGATGCACCCCTCGACTTTGGGGAAGGTACGGCTGCGCGCGTTCCCAGGGTTGGGGCGCAAGGCAGTGGAAGGTTTTAAGCCCCGCGGGCGCTGGACCGTATCCTCGCTCTGTCTTGCGGGTGTCTGTTGGCTCGCTCCTCTGGGGAGAGACGGTGTTGGGGTGCAGACACAGCACCTGCTAAGCACCCGGGCTCGCGGCCAGGAGGCGGCGGAGACCTGCCCATCCGTAGCCTGCCCATCTCCCAGCCGGGAGAGCAGCTGGGCATACCCGGTGCGACCCCAAGTGGCCTTCACGAGTGGCCCCCTCCCCAAGCCCTGCCACGTCCCGGCTGCACCTGTGCGTGCTCTGGCCGCCTGGGAGGCGGCACCCGCAGGCGGAGGCCAGGTGTTAGGGACCTTGGGTCCCGGGATCTAGGAGGCGGAGGCGCGCGAGCGGGCATGCGCAGTGGGCGGAGGCGGCGGCGATGGCCCGGGGAGGCGGAGGGACCGCTGTTTATTTGCAGCTGGGCCACCGCGGCGGCGGAGCACGGGGCGCCCGGGTGGGGACAGTGGGCGCGCGATGCCCGAGCCACGCAGGCCACCGCGCGCCCGGGCCCCGGCCGGGGAGGATGCGCGCCGCGCGGGAGCGGCCGTGCGGGCGGCGCGATGCTGGTGACCCGCGGGGACCGCGGCGGCGGGGAGCGCGCGCCCTCGCGGCGCCCGCGCTGCGGGCTGGTTCCAGCCGGGGCCGCGGCGCTGCTAGCCGGGGCCAGCTGCTTGTGCTACGGGCGCTCGCTGCGGGGCGAGTTTGTGCACGACGACGTGTGGGCGATCGTGAACAACCCCGACGTGCGGCCCGGGACCCCGCTGCGCTGGGCCGTTTTCGCGAACGACTTCTGGGGCAAGGGCCTGGCGGACAGCACCAGCCACAAGTCCTATCGGCCGCTGTGCGTGCTGTCCTTCAGGTGAGCCCCGTGTGCCTTGGGCTTTGGACACCTGTCCCCGGAGAAGGGGTGGCACTTCTGACGGATCCATCCGTACCTCCTCTAGGGTGTCCTCCCCCTTCAGCTCTGTCCTCCTGGCTGTACCCGAGATCATTTTGCCATCAGCTGGATCCTCCTCCCCGCTTTACCTCCCGTTCTCCTGGCTCAATTTGGTCCTCTGGGCTCTACGCTTGCTCCTCCCTGCTCTGCTCCGTTCTCCTGGCTCTGTCCCAGGTCCTCAGGGCTCTATGCTTGGTGCCCCTGGGTTCTATCTCAGGGCTTTCTACTTGGCTCCGGGTCCTCCCGGCTCTGACTAATTTTCTGTCAGCGGAGCGCCAGCTTCTCTCTCACGGAGGTTCTCTGCACTCTGCTCCAGGACCTCGTCGTCCTGCCTGGATCCTCCGGGTTCTGGCCCTGATCCTGCTGCGCCAGGCTCTGTCCCGAGTCCTCCTGGCTCTGCCCTGGTCCTTACCAGGGTCAGCTCCAGGTTCTCAAGGCTCTGCCCGGGGTCTCAACACTGCACAGTTTCCTTCTGCCTCTGTCTTGGATTCTCTCTGCGCTACTCAGGGACCTCCCTGCTCTGCCTCGGTCCTCCCAGTTAAGCCTAGGTTCTCCCGCGCTTCCCGGCTCCTGGGGCTCGGGCTGCGGAGTTGGGACGAGTTTCTCCAGAGCCTGTGCTCTCTCTGCTAGGTTCCTGGGGGTTTCAGGGCTGGTAGATATGACTCGGCACCGGACGCTTCCCTATCCTTCCTGGTCTTCTCATGGAGACCGGCGGATTCCAGAGGGTGGCGATGCTCCTCCAAGTTGTTAGCTTCTCGGGGTGGTTGGGTGGTGGTGGTGGTTGGACTGCTGGGCAGATGAGGAGTAGAGGGGATCAGATGGCCTAGAATACTTCTGGAGCTGCCAGGATGTGCGTGTTCCAGGGGGAGAGGGGTTAGGTACCCCAGTCTGAGCACCAGTCTTTGCATACTGGGCCCCTGATAGCCTCCCTAACCGGAACATCTCCAATCCCAGCCTCCACATCCTGCACTTCTGCAACCCCAGTCTCCGAGTCCGCCCTGTGGCCCCCGGGAGGGAGGGATTCACACCGAGAAAGCGCAAAGTGTTGGGGCACCTGCCTGGGGTCACAGACACACACAGAGAGAGAGAGACCTTTTCCCTAGCTCCGGAATCATGACTCGGCTTTTCTGGTGTGAAGTAGTAGATCCGGATGGAGAGTACGAGTTTGTAGGGCGGGGGTGTCTGCTTGAATTCAGAATTCTGGGGAAAGGAGCTGGACTTTATTCGGTGTAACTTGACTCCCGCCTTTGAGCTGGTGTGAGTGACTAGGACAGAACAATTCACAGGATATTAGCCCCACATTAACCCGCTTTCCAATCCTCCTCAACCCAGCCATAGCTCATGGCACTGATATCTGGGAACAGTTGGCAAAGTAACAGCCAGCATGGGCCTTCAGGCCCAGGGCATTGGAGAGGTGGCCCCGTGACTTAGAAAAGGAAACCTGGCATTTGGCTTTTCACGTAGGTTTTTTTTTTTTTCCCCGAAAAACTAATGTTTTAAAGAGGGCCAGAAAATAACACATCTGACTCACCAAGGGGATGCATTATAAACATTTATCTTTGGAAAGTTGTGTTGGTTTTCAACCCAAAGATAGCCTTAGCTGCAGTTTCTCAGCCTTTTTAATTTCACAAGTTTTTTTTTAAATAAATCTTAAAAATAGGAGGGCTTCCTTTTACAGTTGGTAGACATTTTCATGGAGTGGATGAGGCTGTTGATTAATTTGGAGGTGTATAAGCTCAGAATACTCCATATGCAGATTTTTTTACAGCTCTGGTCCCTGGGGGGACCGGTAAGGAAGCTGCTGGCTATCAAGTGTTTATAGTTCCTAATAGGACTTCTTCTCTCTGCCAGGGCAGAGGAAGAAGGGAGGGAGGGCCGTGTAGTGTAGTAACTCCAGCTCGGATATCAATAGCTTGACTTCACCCCCCCCCACACACACACACAGGTGTTAGTGAAGAAGAGGAGTTGGGAATTGGCAGGGTTGATGGGAAGGGGAAAGGAGGAACATGCAATGTCTCTGGGGTGTTTACTGTTTATGCAGAGCAGTTTGGTGTCTAAGACATTGCTCTTTGCTGTGTGAGTTGCTTTAAGAGTGCTGGCTAGGTTTTTTGCTGTTTTGGGTTGGTTGTTTTTTTTTTTTTTTTTTTTTTTTTTTTTATCACCCTGACACAAGCTAGAGTCATCTAGGAAGAGGGAAACTCAATTGAGAAAATGATGCTCTTATCAGATTGGTTGGTAGGTAAGCCTGTGTAGACATTTTCCTGATTAATGATTGATGTGGGAGGGTCCTGTCCACTGTGGGTAGGGCCATTCCTGGGCAAGTGGTCATGGATTAAAGCAAGCTGAGCAAGCCAGTAAAGTGTTTGCCCATGTTTCTGCATGTTCCTGCCTTGACTTCCCTAAATGATGGAGTGTGGTCCAGATGTGTAAGGCAAATAAACCCCTTTCTTCCTAGGTTGTTTTTGGTTGTGGTGTTTATCACAGCAGTAAAAAGCAAGTAGAAAGGCCCTCAGACACTTTTAGTAGTTTCCATCCCTTTCCTCTTCCCCCTGTTTGTTTTGTTTGTTTGTTTGTTAGGATTCGCTATGTGTCCCAGGACAGTTCTTTATTCATGCTAATTCTTGTGCCTCAGCCTCCTAAGGGCTGAGATGGCAGAATCCGTGAGCTGCCATGTTGTCTAATTGTGTAACTTGAGCCTGCAAAAAGGGACGGAAGACTGTTTTGATCGTTTGGTATGAATCAAATATTGGCCTAGTGTCCTGACTGGTTTTTGTGTCAACTTGGCACGAGCTGGAGTCATCTGTGAGGAGAGAACTTCAGTTGAGAAAATGCCTCCTTAATACCAGGCTGTATGCAAGCTTGAAGGGCATTTTCTTAATTAGTGATTGATTGGATTGATACAGGAGGGCCCAGCTCATTGTGGGCATTGCCACGTCTGGTCTAGTGGTCCTGGGTGCCAGGAAATAACACTGATATAATGTGGCCCCCCACCCTCACTCCCTAAATTTCATCAGCTTTCGAATACCTATTTCATTTGTTTTGGTGTCTATTTACTTCTCTGCAGTTTTATGCCAGGTGTCAATTTCCGAGATTCTACTGTAGTTACAGAGTCTACGACATGTCCGTCACGTGGACTCCATACTTGCTCATCATAGCAACGCACCCAAACTCTAACATCTAACCCGCAAACCCCCACCCTGACCCATGACAACCACAAATTCTCCGTCGCTGTAATTTTATCGTTTCGATGTTACGAAAGCAGAATTGCTCAGCGTACAGTGGGTTTTTTTTTTTGTTGTTGTTGTTTGTTTTAATCTCAGCATTTCTCTGGAGCTTTGCTCAGGTGCATGTGTGCAACGAAGAGTTGGTTCCTTTTCACTTCTGAGCGGCATTCTACTCTGTAAGCGACCCGAAGTTTATCCACTTATAGACTCCCAAATCAAAGCATAAACCTTTTTCTTTTAGTAAGTTTATATCCTCGATGTATTAAATATATGCCACATACTGAGATAGAAGCTGTCTTCGGAACAAACGTAACCAATTTATACATAATTCTTTTGCTGGACAAATGCTTGTGTGCAAAGGGTAACTAACGGCCATGCGTTCCTGAATAGTAAAGCGCCTCACCATGCTTGTCACAGAAAAGGTGAAGCTGGCTGAGGAAAGGGGACCAGGTGGTGCTAGTTGCAGAGTCTATAGCAGGACGGTCTACTCCATCACTTTAGCTGTGTTGTAACTGTTTCTAGAACCCACTTCCCAGAGTGGCTCTGCTTTAGAGCAGAGCCCAGGAGACATTTATATGAGAGGGTTGGAAGATGAGAATCAAACGGCCATGATCAGGCTGAGAATGTCTGTAGGTTTTGGGGGCTGTGGAGTCCCATGCAGATTGAGCAGGAAGTTTTGGCTGCTCGTGGTGGTAGCTGGGGTCACACACAGGCCTCCAGTCTCCCCTGAACTCGTTTCCCCGGGGCCAGCACAGGTGTGAGCAGCTGTCGTGAAAGAGTCAGGCCTTCTGCAGGTTCTCCTTGTCAAGGTGGAGTGTCAGAGGCAGTGTACTGTAGCAAATGGTGTCTGTGGTTCTAGCTCATCCTTGCTTTCCCTACTGTCCTCTCTGCCAACTGGCTGTCTTGCTGGCTTGCAAAACTAAACATCAGACTAGCAAAAGAATTATGTACTTCTACCTGCATGTTATATATGTGTGTGCGCATGTGTGTATTATATGTGTATATATGGTTTTATATCTATATCTATATAAAAATCCAAGTTCCCCATACAAGAGGAGACATCTGACATTGCCTTTTCTGATCTCCAGTTGCATCCGTTTTACTGTAAAGGACATAACGTCACTTTCCTCCCTGGTCATGACCTCTGAAATTGGGAGGAATGTGTTAAGTTTCTCTATAGATACTGTTCTGACACAGAGCCGAAGGCCCACAGCGCCCCCTTGAAAAAGTGCCTTGATTGATTTAAGAGGTGCTTAGTGTTTTCATTTTATTCCTTTCCCCTTTCCTCTTGGGAAGAAGTTCCTGTGGAAATTTCCATTCAGCCAGTGAGTGGAGCCCTATTCAACAAAGAACCCAACGCGTGGTCTTCAGCCCTAAAGATGGGCAAGCTGAGGCTAATTACAGGACCTTAAACTCATGGGTTTTCTTTCCATGTTTAGGCTATTAGATCATTGTTTGCTATACAGTTTTACCGATGCTTCTGATGCTGTCATAAATCATAGGAGTGAAGTGGGTGGCTTAAATGTCAGAGCTAAAAAATAGAATATGTTAATATGTGTGTGGCTGTGGGGACCTGCCATGCTTTTAATGCTTGGTAATGAGAGATTTTACCAGTTCTCATCTTTTAGTCAGAACATTCTGCTGGCTCTAAGAATGTGCAATCATTGACTTCCATGGCTTATACCTGAGAGCCCTGAA